AAATAGATTCTTTATCTATGTACAATGTTATACAAGTTGCTTGTGGACACTATCACTCCATAGCACTTACCAAAGGTAAGAACTGAGTTTAATTTTTTTGCAATAACTTTTGCTTTTTTCTTGCTTAATTATTTTGGATGGAGGAGCAGGGAGCTCGTTTTTCTGCTACCAGTATTTCTGTGCATCTACACAAATCCTTCTTTTTAGTTTAAGATTTTTCTAGGCAGAGACTAGATTCCTTGGGGATTACTATAAATCTAGTTTTGGTACAGAATTTAGAGGGCAAAGCTCGATGCAAACAGATAATCCCGAGAATGATTATCTGCATCAATGAAATGAAGTAACTACGGATGAATTTCTTTACTTCTTCCTGCTGGTTTTATACTATTCTTTGAAACCCTTCCCATTAACTGACCATTTTTTTGACCCTCTTCACTGAAGATGTTAGTACGATGATTTCTAAAAAATCATGCATTTAGTGAACTGTGGTCCATAGCTCCAAAGCTCCTTTCTGAGTAGCAGCAGGATCAGACCCAAAGTTATAAAATGCAATATATAATTGCAAGAAGCTTTTGTTAAGGTAACCAGTCTCCCATCAGTAAAGTTAATCCAAAATACAATTGATCCTTCTTTTTGAACCCAAAATTTCTGTTGTTAAGACATTTGTTAAATGAGATTTCTCCATTTTAAGACCTTGTCTCATTTTGTTAAGTGAATCATTGCAATAGTTAAGTTACTAACACGGTTGTTAAGTGAATCTGGCTCCCCTATTGACTTGCTTATCAGACGGTGGCAAAAGGTCATGACATGATTTTGGGACACTGCAACCGTCATAAATATGAGTCATTTGCCAAGCATCTGAATTTTGATGCTGCAATGATTGTAAGTGTGCAAAATGGAGATAAATCATTTTTCCAGTGACATTGTAACTTCAAACGGTCACTAAATATACTGTTGTAAGTTGAGGATTGCCATAAGCAGTCAAGGAGAATGCAGATCTGTGTATGTGATGACACTTATTAATATGGTAGTTATATGTGTGACAGCTCAAGTTAGACTCTGAATTCTAACCCTTTTAGAGAAGATAATGAGACATGGAAGGTATTTCCACAAAATAGAAAGCTTTACAGCTGTCTTTCTATTTAGAACAAATGGCAATTCAAAGCTTAAAAGCATCCATGGTTAACTCTGAATGGTTTTTGTGATATTCCACCAAAAATCATTCCATGAATCCACAACATTTCAGGAGGAAGGAGATACAATGTTGAGGATGTGATAATCAATTGTTCATGAGATCTGGCAAACCTGTGAGATAAGTTTGTCATCTTAAACGTTGAGGGTCTACTTTTGTCTACCTCAGGGGTGTCAAACTCAATTTCATTGAGGGCCGCATCAGGGCTGTGGTTGACCACAGGGAGCTGGGTGGGTGTGGCCAACTGGGTGGACATGGTCAGCTTGACGCCACTCACTGGGTATGGCTGACTGGGTGGGCGGGGCCAGCTTGACACCATTACCCAAACTGCTGGCATGTATCCTCTTCCATTGGATAGACCCGGCCAAGCCAGGCGGGTCCCATGTTTCATCTTCGCATTGAGTAGACAGGCAAAAGTGACACAGGCCATTTTTCAGGATGGCCCCACAAGCTGGATCCGATCACATTGTGGGCCGGACCCAGCCCACTAACCTTGTGTTTGACACCCCAGGTCTACCTGAACAAGTTGCCAATTTATATTCTAATCAATGTAATGGTGTTTTTTTTCCTCTTTCCCCCCCCAATGAAGATGGCCGAATATTTTCCTGGGGACAGAACAGCCATGGTCAGCTGGGTCTTGGTAAAAAAATTCCATCCCAGTCTAAACCGTGTAACATTTCCTCTCTTGCTGGCATCCCCTTGGCTCAGGTGGCTGCTGGTGGGGCACACAGCTTTGTCTTGTCTCATTCTGGAGTAGCCTATGGCTGGGGAAGGAACAATGCACATCAATTGGGTTTAAATCAGAAAACTTCAAAAGGTAAGTCTGTCTTCAAATTATCCCAGGAAAAAAATGTCCCTGCTGCCTGGTTATTTCCTTTTAATTGTCTCTTTTATTGAAGAGAAAAGTTTTGGGAAAATCAAGATCCCAATAAAAAATATAAATCCTTTGATAAATGTCTTTATTTTGTGCTTTCAAACTGAAATTGCATCAGACTTGACCTTGCTAAGCACATGATACACAGTGACTAAGTAAAACTGTGATTTCATGTCTTTGGAGTAAAATGGAAATAGCATTTAGACTTATACACTGCTTCACAGTGCTTTACCGCCCTCTTTAAGCGGTTTACAGAGTCAGCCTATTGCCCCCAATAATCTGGGTCCTCATTTTACCGTCCTCAGAAGGATAGAAGGCTGAGTCAATCTTTGAGCCTGGTGAGGTTCGAACTGCCAAACTGCAGGCATCCGGTAGTCAGTAGAAGTAGCCTGCAGTACTGCATTCTAACCACTGCACTACCATGCAATACTTTTTTTCATGTGACATCTGCATTTATCAGCATTATTAAAAACCCA